TGATTTTATGTCAACTCGACACTCCTGGCTGGGGGTGGAGTCAAACCTGTCAATCAAGCGGGAGCTTGCTGACACCTCCTTGGGGCTTTTTTTTTTTTAGAGCGAGGGACTCTGGGAACTGCCTCTCTCTCTGCCACTTCACCTTCCTCCTTGATGGGACTTCACTGGGATTCTGTGTCTGCTTCCAGAGACAGCCCCGTGTGGACCACCACCCCTGACAGCTGTCGGAGCCCTGGCATGCTTCCACCAACCGTGGATCCATGAGACTCTGCACCCACTGGCTGGTGACCTCCTTGCTTCCTGATTCCCTTTTCTGCGTCATCAGCCTGCAGCTCTGTGGGACCGTTCCTGCTAGCATCAGATCTATGAACTCCAGTTGGATTTGGCTGGGGTGCCTTCCTGATGTAAAGTGGCTTTTGAAGGTCAAGTTCTTTTTTGTACATAGATGAAGGTCACTGGATTTGTTTCTCTAGACAAGCCGGGCTAACACAATGTATTGTATAGAGAATATTGAGAAGCATTGACTCATTTGAATTACAGTGCTGGTGAAGTACAAGAAGTGACTAAAAGAACAAACAAGTCTGTCTTCGGCGAAGTACAGCCAGAATGATCCTTAGAAGCAAGGGTGGCAAGACTTCATCTGATGTCCTTTGGACATGTCGTCAGGAGCGAGCAGTCCCTGGAAGAGGCCCTCATGCTTGGTACATTAGAGGGGAAGCGAAAAAGATGAACAGACACGGTGGCTGCAGCAATGGCATCCAACCGAACCATCGTGAGGCTGGAGAAGGACTGGGTGCTATTTCGTTCTGTGGTGCCTAGGGTCACTATGAGTCGGGGTGGACTCAATGGCACGTAGCCACATCATCAGCGTGGGCCCGCCGTGTGATGTAGAATTGTAACCAGAAGAATCAATCTCTTCAATCAGTGTGCATTGTATCCATTATGTAGATGAACATCCGTGAACTTTCAGGTGCAGTGAAAATCTAGCACAGGGGTGGTTATTTTTATGGTTAGAAAGGGACTGGTGTGAAGGATGCAGACCTGGGGGAGCGCTTTAGTACAGGCCTCAGGGAGCCAGAAGACCCCACAAAGATGTTGGAACTAAGCAGGTAGGGGAAGTAAGACTCCTAAAGAATAGCTGGACTCTATAGTTTGATGAGGATTGGCAGGAGCGTTTTGTGTGTGTGCAAATATTCCATTTCATTGACCTCGTTGCTTAAGCTAGAAGAATTCTCTCTCTCTCTCTCTCTCTCTTACATACACAGACATCATCCATTACTCTTCTTTTTCTCCTTTACATCGCCTATTAGCCTTTAGTAAGCTCGGCACTCTGCCCTCACTGTATGTACAGATCCAGCCCAGTCCTCAGTACATCCACTCCACTGTCACGGCCCAAGCAATCAACCTGGCCTTTTGCAAATGTTTCCTAACTGATCTTCCTGCTTCCACCCTTCTCACCTAGATTCGGTTCTAACCAGCGAACAAGAAGATCCTAATAAAACACACGTCAGATTATGTCTGAATGCTCAGTTCCACACCCTTCAATGATTTCCCATAACACTTAAAATAAAATCCACATTTCTCACCCTCTACCAGGCCCAGATCTGGCCCTGACCACCAACTGCTCCAACCCCCTTCCCTGTCACTCTGCTCCTGGCTGACCCCGGCCTTGTTACATTGGCAGTATGACCTTCCTGAGAGCCGCCCAAGCTAACTCAGGACCTTCGTACTTGCTGAGCGCTCTGCCTGGGATCCTCCTGACTCAGATCGTCACCTTCTTAATGACACTTGGCTTCTAATCAAATCCATGTCTTCTCAAAGAACTTCCTCAGTCGCTAGCACTAAAACAGCGAACATCATCACCGTCACTTAGCTACATCTCTTTTCTCTGTCCCTTTATGCTGCTTGTGCCAGGACCCTCTGTCACCTAGTACATCGGTGTATCTGTAATTTGCTACTGTCTCCTTTTCTCTGAATGGAGCTCCTAGGTGCAGAGGCCTGCCTGGGCTGTGTACCACCATCTAGCTACCTTGCACTCCCTTGCTCTTGCTAACTGCATGCTACTTATTTATCAAGGAAATGCCTAAGTGTTCACATTGATTCTCCTAATAGTTTTAATACTTTATTTTGTACAATAATCATTAGCTGAACGGGAAAGTCTATGGTGTAGCCAAACAACACTACTGTAGGAATTCAGAAGGTGTGGAATTAAGCTCATTGTTAGTCTAGTAAAATAGGGATATCATATCACTTTGACCAAGGAGCCTTAGCAGTGCAACAGTGAAGTGCTGGACTGAAAAATAAGAGGTTGGCAGTTCCAGCTGACCCAGCACCTCTGCAGCAGAAAGACGTGGCGATCCGCTCCCATAAAGATCACAGCCGAGGAAATCCTCTGGGGCAGTTCCACACGGGGTCCTCTGTGTCAGGATCAGCTTGATGGTACCTAACAACAAGCCCATGTGCTTGTACACGCTACCTGTCTTCTCTGCCTTCTGTTTTTCCTTCTTCAGAATGCGTACAAGCACAGCTTCTGCCATCTCCGTCTGAGAAGTGGCTATTCTAGTTACTCCTGTGTTACAGATGAGGAAAGTGAGGTCTGCACTAGCCAGTCTGGCTCTGCGGCCTCACCAGAGGGCCGGGGTTGTAGGAAAAATACTGTAGGAATGACGGCCACTGAAAGTCACTCTGAGGATTGGTTTTCAGGCAAAATGCCTGCACTCTGGGCTACGGCTGCAGCACAGGTGGAAAGTCCCCTTCCCAGGCGCCTCCTCTGTTTATGTGCTCCTCCTCCCCAGGCCGGACAGGGTGGGACTTGTTTCTGTCTGCAAGCAAGCTCCATGCATGAGGGTCTCTGGCTTACTAGGAGTCCTTCCAGCCGCCAGGAGCCCCCAGGCCTGCATTACCCAGTGCCTTCTTGTCAGGCACAAATAAACAGTTGTTAACGTCTTGCTGGGCTTATTGCTTGATTTCATCATGGCACAGATCTCTGCAGTTGGCACTGGCTGAGGTGTGGACACCTGAGGCCTCCAGGCTGACAGCTGTATGGGGTCATTTTCAATTAGAGGATGACTTGGAGGAGGTAAAAACAACCCCGGCATAGAAGCCTGTCACTGGGTTCTGCCTCCCCAAGGTCTGGGACCCCCAGGGTGGGTGAGGGCCCTGCCATTCTCCTGCATGCAAGGAGACAGCCAGTTGTAATCCCGGCCGGCCAGGGACAGCTTGGAGAACCTTGCCCCAGCTCAGGTGTCACTTCTAGACTGTGTAGGAAGTACATGCAGGTATCTCAGCTGGTCACTTGTCAGATGGACAGCCTTCTCTTGGCTAGTCCTGTTCTCCCGAGGAAGGCCACATGGCACAGAGGGGTGGGCAAGAGTGATGGAGTCATATAGAATTGGAGGTAAACCTTGACCTGGATTCCTGCTAGCTGTGGGACAATGGTTACATTCTCTTTAACCTTCCAGTATTCATCAGGACTCCTACAGAGGCAGAGGTATGCTCTAGTTAGGTAATTGGACTAGAGGTTTGTGAAGAGATGATTTTCTGGGCTGAGGATACCCTGTGCAGCTGACCTAAACATTGGTGATTCAAATCCACCCAGCAGTCCCACAGAAGAAAGACATGACAACCTGCTTCCATAAAGGAAATCCTATGGAGCAGTTCTGTTCAAAGACATGGAGTCACCATGAGATGGGCTGAACCCCACAGCGATGGTTTTTTGGGTGTGAGTGTGTGTGTGTGTGTGTGTGTGTGTGTGTGTGTGTGTGTGTGTGTTTTAAGAGTAATATTTGAAGGAAATTAGTCACACAATTGTGGAGGCACTACCCCGCTAACAACCAAAAAATGGAATATTTGAACAGACTGTCAAGTACTTTGGAAGGGAGGTATGGGGATATGCTTCTGAAGGGTCATGA